ACATGATTTCACCATGTCACAACGGCAGTAAAAAGAAAAACCGGTCCCACTTCATATTAAGTGTCCCTAACTACTATGTACTTACATCAAAAAATAAATACAATGTACTTACTGTGTTTATAATGTATTTGAGAACACTTGTGGTGCTTTAGAGTTGGGATAGAGGTTGGGTTATGGACAGGTTTGGTGGTATGGGTAGGTTTAAGGGTGGGTTAAGGTGTAAGGGATGGTCAACAGTGTATTTACAAATGTAAATACAAAGGTTAATTACAGATGTAACTACATACAGGTATTTAATCAAGCATAAGTACACAGTAAATACATGTATTTACACAGTAAGTACATTGTAACAAACTATTAATTCCTATGTAAGTACATATTAGTTAAGGCCACTTAATATAAAGTGGGACCGAAAAACCTGCCAATTGTATTGTTATTAAAATATATGGAGATTGATGAAAGCTGTTCATATTGTTTAGATCACCCAGAGACATTTATTTAGATTTTTTTCCATAAATGTCACCATTTCATCGTTGTATGTTCGAGAAAAATCTGTTGTAATTTGATCTTAAAAGATGCTTTCATTTACTTTGATTCAGTCTGTGGAGCTTATAATGAATCTTATGATTTAGTTTGGTACAATTTTATATGGTTTTTATAGTTGATTTTCATTCATACAGGCAATATTATTAGCCTGGGGTGGCGCAGTGGCTAGCACTGTCGCCTCACAGCAAAATGGTCTCTGGCTCAAGTCCCGGCTGGGTCAGTTGGCATTTCTGTAAGGAGTCTGCATGTTTTCCCCATGTTGGTGTGGGTTTCCTCCGGGCGCTCTGGTTTCCCCAACAGTCCAAACACGTGCGCTGTAGGTGAATTGGATGAACTAAATTGACTGTAGTGTTTGTGTGTGGTTGAGTGTGTATGGATGTTTCCCAGTACTGGGTTGGAGCTGGTAGGGCATCTGCTGCATAAAACATGTGCTGGATAAGTAGGCGGTTCATTCCACTGTGGTGACCCCTGATGAATAAAGGGACTAAGGTGAAGGAAAATCAATAAATTCGGACCATACCTTGATTGTTTGGGGTTTTAGCCCCGTTAATTCTTGCTGTAGAATATTCTAACAACATAATATTTTTTTAATTTTAATTTAATATACTTTTAGCGTGCGTATATATATATATATATATATAAAGTTTAATTATTAGCCCGATTAAATTTTTTTTTCTGTTTTAATATTTCCCAAATGATGTTTGACAGAGCAAAGAGATTTTCACAGTATGTCTGATAATATTTGTTCTTCAGGAGAAACTCTTTTGTTTTATTTTCGCTAGTATAAAAGCAGTTCCTATTTTTTTTTTAAATATTTTAAGGTCAAAATAATTAACCCCTTTAAACGATATATTTATTTTCAAGTCTACAGAACAAACAATCGTTATGCAAACACTTGCCTAATTACCCTCACCTGCCTAGTTAACCTAGTTAAGCCTTTAAGTGTCACTTGCTGAATACTAGTATCTTGAAAAATATCTAGTGAAATATTATTTACTGTCATCATGGCAAAGATAAAATAAATCAGTTGTTAGAAATAAGTTATTAAAACTATTATGTGTAGAAATGTGTTCTCTCCGTTAAACAGAAATTGGGGAAATAAATAAACAGGGGGGCTAATAATTGTAATTTATATTCAACTAATCTCATAGAAATCTGTTATATGGCAATATATGCCTGACAGTTCATGTTTGAATTTCATATATATAACATAAATGTCATATGTTTAACATATTTCAAAAGACTGCAAAATTTCCAGTTGTTTCTATATGGCCATATATCTGTCCATTTTTGAAATAATGATATGATATTTCTGTATGAAATATCGAAAACAACAAATAAATAAATGAATGAATGATTAAATGAAAAAATATCTATTTACTGTATAATTAAGATTTATTAGCCCCCTTTATTTATTTATTTATTTATTAATTTATTATTATTTTTTTAATATATTTTCTAAATGATGTTTAACAGAGCAAGGAAATTTTCACAGTATGTTTGATAATATTTTTTAAAGTCAATATTATTATCCCCTTCAAGCTATATATTTTTTTCGATAGTCTACAGAACAAACCATCGTTATACAATAACTTGCCTAATTACCCTAACCTGCCTAGTTAACCTAATTAACCTAGTTAAGCTTTTAAATGTCACTTTAAGCTGTATAGAAGTATCTTTAAAATATCTAGTCAAATATTATTTACTGTCATCATGGCAAAGATAAAATAATCATTTATTAGAATACTAATCAGTTATTAGAAATTAGTTATTAAAACTATAATGTTTAGAAATGTGTTGAAAAAAAATCTTCTCTCCGTTAAACAGAAAAAAATAATTAAAGGGGGGATAATTATTCTGACTTCAACTGTATAAAATAAATAAATAAATGAATAAATAAATAAATAAATAAATAAATAAATAAATAAATAAATAAATATTTTAATAAATAGCTAGTTAAATATAAATAAATAAATAAATAAATAAATAAATAAATAAATATTTAATAGATAACTAGTTTAATAAAAATAAATAAATAAATGAATAAATAAATAAATATTTTAATAATTCAACATTTTAATAAATAAATAAATAAATAAATAAATATTTTAATAATTCAACATTTTGATAAATAAATAAATAAATAAATAAATAAATAAATAAATAAATAAATAAATAAATAAATAAATAAATAATATTATTTATTAACATATTATAAAATAATTTCCTTCCTAAAATCCTGCTAAACCCAAAATATAATTTTAACATGTTGGAAACGAAACTGTGATGAAATGATTCATCCCCAACAAATGAAAGAAGTTATTATTGTGGATTAAATATCCTGAAATTATTATTTGCCAACTTAAATTAGTGTTTTAAAAGTGTTGATTTAATAAAGCCCACAGGGCCAAACATGCCCACAGTTGAAGAAGCTTGAAGGAACCCAATCACGCTCGGAGGTGTTTTTCAGTGGTGGTCTCTCTCCTGCCGGCAGGACTTGTGCATTCGTTCTCCTTCTCTCAGGCTTTCTCTGCCTCCATCATTGTGTTTGCCTACAGAAAGCTCGAAGCGCTCAGCCATCCCATCTCTCTCTCTGTTTCTCTCAGTCAAAAAGTGAACTCATGCAAAGACGCCACTCTGAATCATTCAGGCTACACGCGTTTCCTCTTTATCTCCCAGTTGTGTATTTTTAACATCTCTGCAGCGTTTCCGAACACTGACGGATTCTATTAATCACACCACCAGCTAAATGCTTTCGACCAGACAATCGAGGGAAAAGTTGAAATAAGATCCCCCCCCTGCCCCCCAAATCAAAGGTATGTTAATGCACGCGCTCGAAATGAGCAGTTTAATTTCCAACACTTGCATATTTCTCCGAGATGAAATATCAGTTTTGTTCTCTCTCGCTGTGCCTGACCAGACTGTGAAATGAGACGGCTTTCCAACTCAGTTCACTGATAAATGCACACGTCAAATAATGCACGCATGACTCGGCCCTAGCGTACGTTTCTTTTTTTTTTTTTTTTTTCATCTTTTTTCTCTCTCCGTGTTCCAGCGGCAGCGAGACAATTACTAGCGGTGGCGGCTGAGCTGTCAGAAGAGGTTTTGGGGGGGCAAAGGATGTGAGAGCTTCATATGAAGCGCTAGTCTCAGGGTGTCATCTTTAAAACCTCACCGCATTTATCAGCTGTCAGCAACAAAACCAGCAATTCAGCAAACACTTTTGTCTGCTATTGTACATGATGGAAGCGCGAGGGGAGCTTCAGAGGAGATGCAAAAATGAAGTAGCCTTCTCAGGTGCTCCAGCTAATTATTTTTTTTATTATTTATTAATATATTATTAATAAATTCAGCAAATCATAATAAATGTGAAATGTTTTCTAAAAGGTTTAGTAAAAAATATATTATAATTATAAAAACATTAATGTTTGGAGGGTCTCCTTGTCATCACCCTGATTTTTTGCTCCCTCTACAGATTCTCAATTGGATTTAAGTCAGGACTCTGGCTGGGCCACTGCAATATGTTAATATTTGGAGGGTCTCCTTGGCATCACCCTGATTTTATCTCCCTCCAGATTCTCAATTGGATTTAAGTCAGGACTCTGGCTGGGCCACTGCAATATGTTCATGTTTGGAGGGTCTCCTTGTCATTCACTTGATTTTTAGCTTCCTCCACAGTTTCTCAATTGGATTTAAGTCAGGACTCTGGCTGGGCCACTGCAATATGTTAATATTTGGAGGGTCTCCTTGGCATCACCCTGATTTTATCTCCCTCCAGATTCTCATTTGGATTTAAGTCAGGACTCTGGCTGGGCCACTGCAATATGTTCATGTTTGGAGGGTCTCCTTGTCATTCACTTGATTTTTAGCTTCCTCCACAGTTTCTCAATTGGATTTAAGTCAGGTCTCTGGCTGGGCCACTGCAATATGTTAATATTTGGAGGGTCTCCTTGGCATAAACCCTGATTTTATCTCCCTCCAGATTCTCAGTTGGATTCAAGTCAGGACTCTGGCTGGGCCACTGCAATATGTTCATGTTTGGAGGGTCTCCTTGTCATTCCCTTGATTTTTAGCTTCCTCCACAGTTTCTCAATTGGATTTAAGTCAGGACTCTGGCTGGGCCACTGCAATATGTTAATATTTGGAGGGTCTCCTTGGCATCACTCTTAATTTTAGCTCTCTACAGATTCTCAATTGGACTTAAGTCAGGACTCTGGCTGGGCCACTGCAATATTGTAATGTTTGAAGGGACTCCTCGTCATCACCCTGGACTTTTTAACTCCCTCCACAGATTCTCAATTGCATTTAAGTCAGGACTCTGGTTGGGTTACTGCAATATGTTAATGTTTGGAGGGTCTCTTCATCATCACCCTAATTTTTAGCTCCCTCTAGAATTTTAGTTGGATTTAAGTCAGGACTCTGGCTGGGCCACTGCAATATGTTAATATTTGGAGGGTCTCCTTGGGATCACTCTAATTTTAACTCTCTACAGATTCTCAACTGGATTTAAGTCAGGACTCTGGCTGGGCCAATGCAATATGTCAATGTTTGGAGAATCTCCTTGTCATCACTCTGACTTTTTAGCTCCCTCCACAGATTCCTAATTGCATTTCTATCAGGACTCTGGCTGAGTCACTGAAATATGTTAATGTTTGGAGGGTATCTTCATTATCACCCTGATTTTTAGCTCCCTCCACAGATTCTCAATTGAATTTAAGTCAGGACTCTGGCTGGGCCAATGCAATATGTTAATGTTTGGAGGGTCTCGTTGTCATAACCCTGATTTTAAGCTCCATCCACAGGTTCTCAATTGGATTTAAGCCAGGACTCTGGCTGGGCCACTCTTAATATTGTTTTTTTTTTTTTGGATTGTCTGTTGCTTTGTAACTCATTTGGATGATATTTTACTTTCATTTATTTTACTATTTATTTTCGTTTAGATGTATATATTTTTTATTTAAATTATTAAGGTGAACCTAACGACACTAAAATGAGATCTGTGACTCAACTGATTATGAACACTGATTATGAAATGTGTTTATAAGCACATGACACTTTGTAAGTGTAAACCAAGAGTAAATTTTGTAAGCGAAATCCATTACACTTACAAAGGCTCATAGCAGTATTCTTTTAACTTGGTGTATTGCTTAATTACCGAGTACAGACCCTCTTTGCTTACAATCAAACCGCTGAAAATAAAACATAACTGATATAAAACGCTTACAAAAAATAGCAACCTCTGAGCAACAGAAAAATATTTTGCAGAGTACATAGATGTATTGTTTCATTTTTAATTATTCATTGATTTATTAATAATTCATTCAGCAATCATAATGCATGTGATTGTATTTTAAATTGTTCTTAGTAACAAATGAGCAAAACCCAGTTGTTTGATAGATGGATTTGACTCATACTATTATTATTGATTCTGATTACACTCCTTATTTTACATGAGCATGTTTCAGCCTTATGATAGATTCTGCTTCAATTCTGGACACAAAAACTAATTGTGCAGTAAAAGTTTCCAGGAAAGTTTTCTATGCCCCTTTATTTAACAAAAGTTTAAACCTGTAAGTTTAATAACAAACAACCACAGGGATATAACAGTGTCCGTAGTTGAAGAAGCATTCTATAATTGAATAAAATAGGTGGGCGTACTCACTATTGCTTTTTGCCGTTGTCTCTCCCTCTGCTCGGCCCTCTCACATTCCCGTTTCTCATAGTCGCGTCGGTACTCCTCTCGCTTCAGACGCTCGTGCTGGTATTCCTCATAGCTGTCATACCTAGAATTGAAATGACAAAACATTGCAGAACGAAATCACATCAAGTGTTCTCTAAACACACAATAAGAAACAAGGAACAGAAAGCAGTCTCCTGCTCCTCTGACGATTCTTTCTTAGAAAAACTCCACAGTAATATCAAGAGTCTCCTCTAGAGTTTCAGAAAACATCTAAAATGTGAAATAATGTGTAAATATTTTCCCAGAAATAAAATGCAGATCTTCAGTTTTCATTTTCCCAATCAAACAGTTTATTATTTATATATATATTTTATTATTTAAATATATTTCCAAGCCCTAAATTATTCATACCTTCTTCAATTCTTACTTAAATTACTTTTATTCAACCAGCAATTGACTGAAAATGACACAGGCTTCTCCTAAAGGATAACACGACTATGTACAAGAGGCATTATTGTGTGAAAAACAAAAATATTTCTCAAATGACATGACCAAATTATTCATGCACTTCTCAATAATCAACAGAAAAGTCTTCATTGGCTATTACAGCAGTCAAACACTTCCTACAACTGACTCTAATGATATTTTTGCCCATTCGTTTTAGCAATGAGCTCTAAATCTTTCAGGCTTCCTTCCCCCACCGATTCTCAATTGAATTTAGATCAGGACTCCGGCTGGGCCACTGCAGTATGTTGATGTTTGGAGGGTCTACTTGTCATCACCTTGATTTTAAGCTCCTTCCACAATTTATTTATTGGATTTAATTCAGCACTCCAGCTGGGCCACTGCAATATGTTCATGTTTGGAGGGTCTCCTTGCCATCCCCCTGATTTTTAGATCCCTCTACAGATTCTCAATTGGATTTAAGTCAGGGTTCTGGCAGGGCCACTGTAATATGTTAATGTTTGGAGGGTCTCCTTGTCATCCCGCTGATTTTTAGATCCCTCTACAGATTCTCAATTGCATATAAGTCAGGACTCTGGCTGGGCCACTGCAATATGTTAATGTTTGGAGGGTCTCCTTGTCATCCCGCTGATTTTTAGATCCCTCTACAGATTCTCAATTGCATATAAGTCAGGGTTCTGGCAGGGCCACTGCAATATGTTAATGTTTGGAGGGTCTCCTTGTCATCCCGCTGATTTTTAGATCCCTCTACAGATTCTCAATTGCATATAAGTCAGGACTCTGGCTGGGCCACTGCAATATGTTAATGTTTGGAGGGCCTCCTTGTCATCCCGCTGATTTTTAGATCCCTCTACAGATTCTAAATTGCATATAAGTCAGGGTTCTGGCAGGGCCACTGCAATATGTTCATGTTTGGAGGGTCTCCTTGCCATCCCCCTGATTTTTAGATCCCTCTACAGATTCTCAATTGCATATAAGTCAGGGTTCTGGCTGGGCCACTGCAATATGTTAATGTTTGGAGGGTCTCCTTGTCATTCCCCTGATTTTTAGCTCCCTCCACAAATTCTCAATTGGATTTAAGTCAGGACTCTGGCTGGGCCACTGCAATATGTTAATGTTTGGAGGGTCTCCTTGTCATCCCCCTGATTTTTAGCTCCCTCCAAGGATTCTCAATTGGATTTAAGGCAGGGTTCTGGCTGGGACACTGCAATGTGTTAATGTTTGGAGGGTCTTCTAATCATCACCCCAATTTTTAGCTCCCCCCACAGATTCTCAATTGGATTTAAGTCAGGACTCCGGCTGGGCCACCCTTATTAATTTTTTTTAAATGTCTATTTTAGTTATTTACTTTTTTATCTTCTTTCTATGTATATTTTTTTCATTCAAATTCTTAGGATGTGCACCTAACGACACTAAAACGAGATCTGTGACTCTGATTAGGAAATGAGTTCATAAGCAGCAAGAGATCATCATTACACTTGTAAAGGCTCATAGCCGAAGCATGAGTTTTTCTTTTCACTTGTTGTATTGCTTAATCATCGAGTGCATAGATCTTTGCTCCCAATCAAACCATTGAAAATAAAACCTAACTGATAAGGTTGGAGCTGTGAAACAGCAACCTCTGAGCAACCGAAAAATGTTTCTCAGAGTACATAGATGTATTGTTTGCTGTTTTGCTCAAGTGGCCTTGGGAATCAGCAAGCTCAGAGCAGACTGTTTTCCATTCTTCTTAGCGGCGAAGACAAACAAACACATTAATAAGATGTCTCATTACATCGCGAAAGGTTACAGCTCCCAATAGCGGGACTCTTAAGGGAATATGGCAGAAAATTTGGCAGCTGTGTCTGTCAGCACAACTTCACATGCCATTACTTTTTGCTTAGTTTGAACTTTACGTCCAAAAAGTGCAACTTTTTCTACAGCCATTTGCAATAGAGGCAACATGGTGTAAAAAGCACCATATGAGCGGACTAAAGCACCATCAGGGAAAAGGTGTAGCTGGGAGGTAGCGGGTCCCTAATGCCAGCAGCTCTTGCCAACGGAAGCTTTATTGTAAAAGTTCTGAAAGTTAAGGCCTTGAAATGATGCATCATCATAACTCATCATATCAATTAGACAGAGTCAGCAAGTGACTTGCTTCCTTTGCATAAGGACAGACTCTGAAAGTATTGCAGACACAGTACATTCTCTTGCAGCACTTATTTAAGTCTGTCTTATACACCAGTCTGCATATACACAGATCAGCAATTCCTAGCATAAGATTATATTGAAGAGTGTGTAATAACCTGGGTCTCCGACCAAAAAGAGAATGCGACTGGGACTGAGGGTTTCCACAAATCCTGGGAGTGAAAGTGCTTTCGTCCATGTTGCGAGGAGACCTGCGTACAAGCAGAAAGAGAACAGGATCGTTTTGTTGAAAAATATATAAAAAGTCAAACGTTAACTATATTAAATCGCATATATAGTTTACCCAAACAAAACAATTAGCCCATCATTTATTCTCCCTCAAGTGCTTTTAAATCCTTAAAGGTTTCTTTCTTCTGTTGAACACGAAATAAAATGTTTTAAAGAATGCTGGTTGTTGGCACCCATTGACTTCCATAGCATTTTTTTCCCTACTGTAGAAGTCAATGAGTTCCTGTAACCAGCATCTTTCAACAGAGGAAAGAAATGAAAGGAGGTTTTGAGCAAGTGAAAACTGAGTAAATGATAGCCTTTGAATTTTTTGAGGCATCTTTTCCCTTTA